AGCCCCCCCCGCTGTATCTCTCAGCTCTTTAACCCTTCCTTACCTTTGCCGCACTGAGCAGAGACTAAATCACATTCTGTACAATTGTAATTCTGTGAGTCACTATCTCAGTTCTTAGTTACATATATTAATGCTGGGGATCATGTGTAGTTTTAAAAGCAGGAGGTAACTTAGGATTTCTCACAACAGGTGCGCTGTATTGCAAAGTACTGGCCTGTGAATTGAATCTAAACTAGAAATTGATCCTTTTTGTCTTTCATGTTTGACATAACTACATTGGGCAATTTAGTGGAAAGTATTGGTCTTTTAGTAATCCATGACAATACATAGTCTCTAAAATTCTATCACTCCTGGCAATTAAATGAGATTTAGAAAATGAATATAGCAAGTGATGATATTTCCAAAATACATACATTTAACCTGATCTTTGTCTGTTTTTTCAACAGTTCAAGGCCTGGTAGGCCCCCTAAACGTTCTTTGGGAGTGTTGCAAGACAATGCCCGCCTTCTGCCCCACGCAGTCCCAGGCCTCTTATCACCAGGACTTATCACTCCGACAGGTAAGAAAATCCATATGATGATCAGCCTTGTCTCTTCATACTGTCCAGCATTTGAAATAAACTAATATTGATCTAACTGCCTTGTCCTTCAGAGCTTTTCAAGCTCTACTAGAGGTTACATTATTGAGTTTTTTGAGTACTCATGAAAACAAGTTTTGTTACTCCAGCAACTCTGAAATAAAATGGATATTATTTTAAAAAATGTTTCTCCTTGCAGGAAACCCATCTCATAGTTTTTCTTTGTATGTATGTATATATTTGTTTGTTGGGGTCAGGGATGGGGGCATTGGCCAAAAAAAGCATCATTTCAAAGTCTTCTATAGAATGCAGCTTGCTTGTTTATTTCATATATCTCAGTGATATTATTTTTATATTTAGGGGACCTGAGCATCTGTGTATGTTGTTCAAGATATTACAATAGGTTAAAAACAATAGAAGGAAAGTGCAATAATTTGTAATGTTTTGAACAACCCACAATAAAAAATTAAAAAGAAAAAAAAAAAAAAGAAACGTAATTGGAAAAAAAAAAATGTGCAGGTGGTCATTGTCCTGCATGATACTTTAGTGTTTTTCATTGAACACTGTGATTATTTGGTAAAAATACTGGTCTCATAAATCAAAATCAAACTCGCCTGATTCTCTAAAAGGTATATACAAATATATATACAAATATGCCAAAAATTGGAAATTAAGCTTAATATTTCTGTAATTGAGTATTTGAAAACTATTAAAATTATTACAGTGTAGAAAATGAATTTAAGAACAATGAAATATTATATATATATATATATATACACATACATACATACACACACATACCTTCAATGATAGAAACATTTATAAAACACCTGCTTTGTTTAGATGTTAATTTCTAACTAATATAAAAATATATAAGTAGTGATTCTGGTCACAGTAGGGAGAAAAGAACATAAACTAATAATTGTGTTAAAGTGTGATAGAGAGCATAATATAAATATAAGCATGGTGCTATAAACTCCAGTATGGAAACACTTAAATGACTTTGGTAAATTGGGCAATACTCAGAGAGATGAAAATCTTAGAGTTATATCTCATAGGTTGTTCGATAGATGGAAAATCTGAGGAAGAATATTCCAAGCAGAGAGAAGCACACATAGACGCTAATGAAAAAGATCCCAGGGTTGTAGGGGGAATAGTAAGTAGATTGAAGAGACTAGAACAGAGATTTGAGTTAGCAGACTTACAAATGACATGATTAGAACTGAAAGGAGGAAATAACTTTCAAAGCTAGCTTTTGATTCACCATATTAAGTAGTTTAATTTTTCCCTAAAGACCAATAGTTTCCACAATTTATTTCAGGACTTTTCTCCATGGCTGACATGAAATTGGTGAAGACCTTACACTTCTGCCTCAGAATATTATATGTTCTTGCTCACATAGGATTTTGTTTTCTTTTGTTAAGTAAAACTTCTATAGATAAAAGGAATCACTGCTAAAAACTTTAGTAAATTTTCAAAACAATTTCTGTAAAAGGTAGATAACAATGAAAGTTACAGAAGAAGGAAGGTCAGTTGCTACAGTTCAAGGGAGAAATACTAAGGGTCTGAACAAAGACAATTTCAATAGAGTAGAAAAGAGTTCTGGAGTGCTTTAGTAATTAAAAGTAATCACACTTGATAATCAATTAAATGTAGATGGAGAGTAGGTGGTGTCTTGGGTGATTCATGTCTAACTTGGGCGACAGGCTGGATGATGGTATCATTAACAAAGATAGAGAACTTAAGATTGGACTCCCGTTTGGGGGAAAGAACAATGAATTTGATAAATTTACGTATTTATAAACAAATTCTGATATAAGCAAGTTGCCATGTGTATATAAATAAATGCAGAATTTGTAACAGCACATAAAATATATCTTGGGGCTCAAGAAATGATATCTATTTCTAAATTTCTAAAACTATATTGCCAGAACTTTGAAAAAGCACAATGTGAATAATCAAATCTGTGTCTTTTTTTAAATTTTCAGTTGTAGATGGACACAATACCTTTATTTTATTTATTTATGTGGTCCTGAGGATTGAACCCAGTGCCCCATACATGGGAGGCAAGTGCTCTATTACTGAGCCACAACCCCAGCCCATGTGTCTGGATTTTTAGGGAATGCATAGATGGAAGAAAAGAAAGGTTCTCAAATTTGCTTTGAAACTAATCCATTCCTGAGTAAACGTTAGTAGCTTATCTATCAAAGAAAAGCTGTAACTTAATGCACATTAAGTTCCTATTATGTATCAGGCATTGGTATTTAGTGTTTTATATATATTTCATTTAATCTTTGTAGTACTCTTATGGATATAAAACACTTAATACCAATATAAATAATCTATGACTTAGTGAGTTTAAATTAATTGCTTAAAGTCATAAAGCAAGTGAATGGCAGAGCTGAGTTTCAAACCCAGTCTTTTTGATTCCAGAGCCCTTACATTTTACTTGATGTATGTTTCATGTCCTGCACATTTATGAAGCATCCTATTTATATATGCGACTTCAGCTCTAGAGTAATCTCCTTCTTATTTTTCATGAACTTATTTTATAACCTAAGAATATCTTACTCACCTGCAGTCAAATGTTAGAAGAAAAATGCTTTGTAAAACCAAGTAGAAATAATTTGGGGGATTATGTGATATTTTGGATTTGGCATTCAACTTTATTCCACCATTAGCAAAGACATGTAAGATATAATCATTTATTGATCTACATCTCAGTGAATTTCATACTTGGCATTATATCAATCTTGTTTTATAAACTTAAATGCGATTAATTCCACTTAAAATACCTTTGAAGAATTCAGTTGATATTTTTAGTGGGTCATTCAAGGGTCCTTTTCCCAAAAAGATCATTGAAATGGTTTGCAATAGTTTATACTGTTAGGTTCTGCAATCTGAGAATATATTTTAAAGTAATATAGAACAAGCATACACACACACACACACACACATACATTTACAGACAGCTGAAAAATTATTTGTCAAAAAGAATCTTTGCTACCTACAGTTTCTATGTCATATGTATGGAACAGTTTATTTGAATCCTGCTAGATTTGCCTAAGCAATGGATTTTGTTCTGCATTCATTTATATTATTTTTCTCCACTTCTTTTAGCTTAAAGACAGGGTCTTAAAGTACCATAAAACCCAGGTGTGGTAGTATATGCCTGTGATCCCAGTAGCTCTGGAGGCTGAGACAGGAAGATCAACGCCAGCCTCAGCAACTTAGGGAGGCCCTAAGCAACATAGCAAGAACCTGTTTTAACATAAATAAATAAATAAATAAGAAAAAAACAAAAAGGGCTGGAGATATTGCTCAGTGGTTAAGCACCCCTGGGATAAATCTCTGAATCTTATGACCTCAAAAAAAAAAAAACAAACAAACAAAAAAAAAAAAAACACCAGATATTAAAGAATAAACTAACAAAAATGTACCATAAAAGAATGATCAGGGTATGTATTTTCAGATATTGTGGCATTCTGTATATTATTTTTTGTCATTAAATTATTTCTTATCAGCTATTGGAAAAAATGCCAGTGAAAAGAATTACATATAGTTAAGATATTATTAGATTTATTTAAGAGTATTTCTTCAATTTAGATATCTTAACATATAAGTCTTTAAAATTTGTTTTTTAGTTGTAGATGGACACAATACCTTTATTTATTTGTTTATTTATTTATTTTGATGTGGTGCTGTGGAGAGAACACAGTTCCTCATACATGCTAGGCAAGAACTCTGAAACTGAGCCACAACCCCAGCTCTTAACATATAAATCTTAAAAGACACATTATAATGGCAGGTATGTCATTGTTTCATTTACATAATATAAAGGTTAATATATTTCATCTGATTTTATTTTCTTTTGTGTAATTGGTATATTCATACTCCACTAGTTCAGAATTTGTCATAATTAAGACCATGGCTATGCTGATATCTCAGGTGTTAAAAAATTAACTTGTTTAGCAAATTAAGTGTATAAACAAATAGTGTGTGTATGTGTGTATGAATGTGTGTATGGGTGTAGTGACATTAAAATACTTGGGGAGTATTTAGGTACCTAAAACCGCTTTCACAAGATCTGTTATAAAAGTAATCAACATATCAATTACTGATGATTGATCTTTATTCATGAGGTAGGTCTCATAAGTTTTATCCTTTATTGTCATATATTCATTTATATATATATAATTAATATTATAATTAATATATATATGGACAGGTAGGTAATATCTCTAAATAGATATAGTTAGAGATACACATATATTCATTCTTTCATGTAACATGCATTTATTGAACATTACTCTGCATCATGAATATAAGGAAACATTATAACACTAAAATAAAATTAATTTTGTGGGTCAGAATTTTCCCAAATTCTACCCAATATTTTCTGTAGTTATTCTCAAATCATGAAGTTTGACTGCATTTTGCTTTCATGTATATGAACTAATGATATTCTTAGGTGTTTCTGTCTCTGTTTCTATAATATTTTCAATATCTTAATTCACAAATAAAACATTAACACATACAAATCATATTTTCTAGTATTTTCTGTAAATTTTCATGCTATAGGGAAAAAAGAAGAGGAAATATTATACCCATTTTTTTGTGTATCTCTGCTGAAGTGTTAGTATCCTAGGATTACAATGAAGGGATAAAATAGCTGTATGGGCTCTTGAATTTCCCAGAAGATGACTGCTCCCCTTTCCTTAGCTTATGAAACATTTCAAAAAGACAGATGTGGAATTTGGCCTGAGAGAGATTTACACTTACAGCTGACAAGGAAGTAATAAAGTGCTTCGGATGGAATTCCTGTAGTGTTCATTCCTTAAAATGTAATAGATTTTTTAGTTCTTTCTTAGTTTTTGATGTGTTTTGGAAAAATATCTTTAAGAATGCCAGCAGTCATCTAATTCTCTGGGTAATTGAGCCCATGAAGATCTAATCCAGTGATAGTAAGTACAATGCCATAA